TCTTATAATTAAAACTCTTACCTTCCAATTTGTTGTTGGTAAGATATAGTGATTGGAGGTTTGTCAAATTTCCAATGTCACTTGGAATGATTCCTGAGTTGAACATGTTATCACATAATTGTAACTCTACTAATTCTTTGCATTGATGCCAAATAGAAGGTATTTTGCTAGACAAATCATTTCTATCTACAAAAATAATTCAGGTTTTGGAAGCCCAAGACACACATTTGTTGGGAGACTCCCTGATAATTGGTTTATACCAAGTTCAATGTGTTGGAACATTGAACTATTAAATAATGAAGATGGTATAGAACCAATAAGTTAATTCGCTCCAAGATACAACGTCTTTAGTTGTGAAAGATTACCAATCTCAGTAGGAATGTCTCCTTGAAATATTAGGAGGGAGAAAAAAGAGCATGTAAGTTACAATTTTATATTTTTATAAAATAAAAACATATATATTGGGAAAATAACACAAATATATTCCAAATGATTGAGCACACAACTACAATTATTTTAGAAATTAAAATTAAAATATAATTTAGATTATCCAATTCAAAATTAAATGTTCCAAATTTGTGCCCTGTAAGGGTTACTCATTTTTTTTAAATGAAAAACAGACCATTCAAAAAGTTTTTTAAGAAAAAATAATAAACATTTATTTTTAATCATTGATTTTAGATTTGTTTTCACTATCATTATAACAGTATATTATTTTTCCCATGGTGTGACTTTATTAACTTAATTTATCAAAAATTGGATGCCAATTTTTTTCTTTTAAAACAGATAAGAGAAAATTCTGGTAAAACATAAAAAGAAATGTACATAAATACGAAAAAAACAGAAATTGAGAAAAACCTAGATTCCTCTGGGACAATACATATAAACAATATTGTAATTAAGTTCAAAGATAAATGAGCCTTCAGATCTGTTTGAATTAATAATTACAGCAGAAAATTGGATGACAAATTTTCTAAAAATAGATAAAAATGTTGCAAAGTAAAAAGAAGAAAGTGCATAAACATATCAAAAATAAAAAGCAGAAGAAAACAATTGAGACAAACTCATGTTCCTCTACATTATCCTTGAAGGATTATATTCAGCAAACCAAATTCACAAGTTCAGAACAAAAGCGATTATATATGTTAAAAAATAATCCAAGTTGTTGTAAGACAACTTAAATAACTCATGAAAATAAGCTGGAATTTCTTATTGAAATCACCCTTGAAAATTTCTTACCCACAACTTAAACTGGAAAATGATTATTTTTGCTACTCTCTCCTATTCATTTTAACTTTATATTTTTCTCTCTCCTCATCATCATTTATTTATTTGACTTATTTTTCAGTATTTGTTCTATTTCTTATCTCTCAAATTTTTAATTTCAAATTAAATAATTATTATAAGAAAAAAATTTAATTTGAAAAGTATTATTTAATTTCACCAAGAATAATTTTGGAATTAAAAATTTAGCTCAATTCCTCTATAAACCCAAATAAATTATAATGATGAATTTTATTTGTTTGTTGAGTATTACGAATATATTGTTTATATGCCCTATTATTAATTGCAGACTTTTGTGTTTGTTTTCTTTATTGTTATTGGATAGGTTGTTATTCAAAACCAAGTTAGACGGAGTATGTAAGTTTGTGCACCATTTTATTTTGTTATTCTTAATTTCAGACTATGTAGGTTTTGAAAATTATTAAAAATGAATTTGTTTTTAGGAAAAGAAGAGTTGTTTACTGCACAAGGTATGGTTGAACTAGATTTCTTTTTATTTTTAAAATTTTGATTCAATTCCTATATTATAATTTTAAATTTATTTTGTAAATTTATTTATATATTTTTTGTCTATTTAATTCCTCTACTATAAGTTTTAATAATAAAATTAATTAATTAAATAATACATACAATTCTCAGGAGAAAATGAAATAAATGTTCAATGATATAAGGACTTGAAATGTAAGGCAAATACTATTGGACAGGAAGATGTGATGATTGGGCTTGGGATATGTGGGCTTGCATTGAAGTACTCTAGTTAGAAGATTTACTTTTAAAAAATTTAAGTTTTTTATACAATAATTAATATTGATATAAGATTAGAAGTAATTTTTTATAAGATAAGATTGGAAGTAATGGATAAATAGTAAAGTGTCGATCTTGTTATGGTATATCTGGAATTATATTTATTAAATTTTTTATTATTTCACATGAAGTCACATCAAGCAATATACGTAGATAATTCTATCACCATTTTTTTTCTTTTCTTTTCATATGTATATGTGATTTTTTGTTTGTTAAAAAATAAATATTTTTATGGAATAAAAAATAAATATTTTTATAGCTATACAAGTGACAGAGTACATGCATATTTAAAGTGCAGTTGACAACATGAAATGTGAGAGTGAAATTTAAAACAAAAACAAGAAAAGCTTGTTTTAGTATATTGGTAAAGGCCTGGATATTAGGAAAAAAAAAATTTAAAACTCATCCATGTATGTAGACATATCATGAATATAATTAAAGTTATTGGTAAAAAAAAAAACCAAGAAAAGTTGCATACAAAAAGAAAATGCAGGGAAAATGAAAAATAAAAGACAAGAGAAAAGCATTAAAATGTAGGTGGTCCTTTTTTCTATTATCCCTATCAAATTATATCATTATAGTGAAAACGAATAATGTGGATTTTACAAATCAACATTAAACATTCCTAAAATCTTTGTCACTTGTAAGTAATAAAATCCTTTAAACTATAATCCTTTTAAAGATGTATAGTTACTTTTTGCATTTGGAAAAGTTTCCACGAATGCAACTGATTTAAAATTTTTATTTCGCCATTGTGTGTGAGTGTGCGTCGTCAAAATGTGTTTGTAAACAAAATAATTTCATTTCAAATTTATTTCTATACAAAAGATTAGGAAGAAAAACAGACATAATTTACTTCAACAGCCCAACTACGTGCATATACGGATAGGGACATATATGTAATAGCACCCAAATATAATTCTTTATATCATATATGCCATTTTATCCATGATTGCTTTGGGATTAAATAATTAATCTAATATTCTAATGTAAAGCTAATTGACATTTTATTTATAATCACTTTGGGAAAAACACAGACATGCACACACAAATGTTCATACTTGTAAATGAGTTGCTGCTCAAATATAATTTTTTTCAAAAATGTGCATTTTCTTATTGATTTTGGAATGCTTCCCTCTAAATAATTATCATCAACAACCAACAATTCCTGCAAAGTGAGATGATGACACGTTTTTTTTTTTTTGGGAAAATTGCCATTTAAATGATTCCCATTAAGGTTAACCTCTCTTAAAGAAGGCATGTTCCAAAGAAATGAAGGAATTTCTTAAAAAAATGAAAAATATTTAACTTATTTAATTTGATGGTTTAGACAAACTAGCTTATATTTCAGGAATGAAAATATCTTCAGCTTAAACTGTTGGAAGCAATATAGAATAAGCATAAGGAAGAATTTTCTAAAGTATGCATTTTTTTATGCATGTTTACAGTATTAATACTTTCTCGATCTAGTGTTGCATGTGTTTTACATTAAGAGGGGTAGTTATATGCATTTTTACTGACACAAGATTCAAAAACAAAATTTATACTGAATGATCATATTCATCCTTAGAAAATAAAGCTCATAATGTTAAGAAATATAATTATTTTCAGAAATTGAATTTATTACTAACTAATTAAGTCCCATATAGGGTATCAACATACATAGGCGAATGAAGATTATTTTTCTAGTTAATAAAAGTATAACTTACATCTCCTAAAGACACATATTTAAAGTAGGTCATGGATGTGAGATCCTTTGTAGATATTAATCTGTAAATATATGTGAAATTACTTTTGGAATTATAAAGCATATCCTAAATCTTAAGTTCTCAATTATTAAGACTTAACTCACATAAATATTTTTTTCTAACTGATATAAAGTATAAAAAAGTTGTAGTGGGTTTCATTGCTATCATTGTTATCATGTCTTATGTGTCTTGGGTGTATCCTTGAAGTCATTGGCTTACTTCCTTTGAAGTGTCTCAATCCAAATGTCATATTCTTTAGAATTTAAACAAATACCTTTTTTTATAGAATGATATAACACAAATCAACACAAAAATTTCAATATTAGAACTGAATTATTCAATAATATTATTACTTTTTTTGAGTGGATTCAGTAGTATTATTAATGAAAAAGTGAGTGCCATGTTATCTCGCCTTACTTTTTAAATAGTTGACTTCAATTATGAAAATCAAGGCCACATGTTGTTGGCAGTTTGTGTAATTATAATGGATTTAGTAATTATCATTAAGGAAAAACAACGTTCGCATCTAACATTGTTTCAAGAACCAAAGAAAGAGATGAAAATCAAGAGAAAAGAAGCTTACACTTTCCTCCAAGTCCAAATCATGTTATAAATGTGATAATTCATACATTTCATGTACGAACTATGAATTCTTTATATCTAAAGTTTGAATTTTACTATTTTTCTTTTTAGCAAATAATATACATAACAAAAATTAATATTTGAGTATAAACTTTTTTAAAGAAATAATAGTTAATAATAAATATAATCCAACTTAAAGTTGAATGTTCGAGGTCCTCGTAAGCTTTACTCATTTAGAAGAAAAAAAAACCCTTCATAGAATAGACTATTATTCCCATGCTAGCTATTATTTGAATGTACTGTAGTAAAGAAACAAATATCCTATTGCTTCAGTTTCATGTAGATATGTGATTTATTGAAAACAAATTGATAGAAAAATTTTTAAAAAAATGAAAAATGATTAAAAAATGCATAAAGATACCAAAAGAAAAGAATATAAAATAGTCGAGACAAACCTATATCCTTCCACATGATCCTTAAGGGAATATATCATGCTAAACAAATAGACTAGCTTAGAGTGAAATTAAATTAAGCATAGGCATAAAAAATAATCCAAAACATACCTAACAAAGTGTTATAAGATCAATGTAATAACTCAAGTGCAGATAAGTTGGAAATTGCTTGAGAAATAATTCCTGAAAGCTTGTTTCTCGAAAGTTGTAAAACTTTCAAGTGGTCAAGTCTTCCTACCTCAACAAGAATGCTTCCTTCAATTAAATTAGAATTCCAATCTAATGTCTTCAACCTTGATAGATTGAATAGAGATAGTGGAATAAATCCTTCAAAACTGTTATTTTGAATATTTAAGTGCTCCAGCATAGATAAATCTCCCATCCTTGTTGGAACTTGTCCTTGAAAGTCATTGTAGCTCAAGTTCAATAGTTTCAATCTATGCAATTGAACTAACTCTCTTGGTATTTGACCATAAAAATTGTTTCTACTAAGATCAAGTTCAACTGGAAATGAGAGATTTCCCAATTGTGGATATATGGTGCCTTTAAGATCCATGCCGCCAAGATTTAAGGAATGGACCCTTCCATGGCGAGTATTGCAGGTGACACCAACCCAATTGCATGAAGAAGAAGAGATAGACCAAGTAGATAAGTAATCATATGGATCTGAAGTGATAAAAGATTTAAGGCCAAGAAGGGCAGATTTATCAGTAGTGATGTCTGTATCAATCAAAGCTAAGGAGGATACGAAGCAATGGAATGAGGAGATAAGGAAAACAAAGGAAGGAGGTTTTCCCATGTTTAACATTTCAGACTTGTCAAGATTGCAAGTTGTGTATGTAGGAAAACACACATCATTTTATACTTCTCCAATCCCATAAAGTGGTTTGTTATCACTTCAAAAACAACCCAAAACATACGTTAGTGATAAGAAGAAGTTGTGTCCCTTTATGATGAATATAATTGCACTTACTACAAGTTTGGTAGGCCATATGTAGAGGGCACCTCAAAAGAACGTTAATACTGGGAAGACTTGTGAGAAGGCATATCTATCATCGATTTGTAGGTATGTGGTATCGGTAAATGCCATGCTTGACTTGTGAGTAATAGGCATCAAAGTCACTCTCCATTTCCATGCAAAAGGAGCAAGAATATAAGAAAACAAAGTCAAAACAAAATTCTTGAATAAGTATTTTTCCGGAGTAGCTGTAGGTATATATATGCAGAAAAGATATAAAATTAATTAAGATTCTAATAATAATAATAATAATAATAATAATAATAATAATAATCAGTATTTTTCCCAAGGGACTGTAGGCCAAGTATATTCATGAATTAATCCCCAATTCAATTATGATACCCAAATCAACTTTTAATTGGTGATGACTATAAATAATTTACTAATGTCTAAAAATAAAAATAAAAAACTAATAGAGAATATCCCCAAAGGAATGCCGGTGAGAAGAAGCTTGTTTGGATACGTTGTGTACCTACACAAACATATATCACCCATTGCAAGTCACATACACTTCATTTCATAAGAAACTATTTATAAGTATCTCCTCTTGTAAAACTGCTTCTATTTTATTTGGCTCAAAGAAAATACCACTTAATTGATGTTAAAAATACATCTAAATAATATAACTTATATATATATATTGATTATTTATATTGGTAGAGCCTTGAAAAAATAAAGGTATATTCAACAAAGATATAAGTGAAGTAAAGCATTTCATAATTAACATTAAAAGAATCAAAAGCAATACATTATGTGTAATTGTTGCTAAAAGTAGAAGAGTTGCATAATATTAATGCTATATAAGACATTCACTATGTGATCAATCTATTATTTAAACATTTATTACTATAAGGAAAAGAAGTTAAGAATTTGCACTTTTACAGTACTGTTGGGACCTTCAAAAATACTAATGGAAGGATTTTCAAAGTATGTATTCTTGTGGGCAGCAGAAAAGTATACCAATTTGTGTGAAAAATGCATGAATTGGAACTTTGTTTCTAATGTTAGAACCATGTTAATTTATAAATAAATATTTTAATTTATCAAGGACCACAACCTCTTCATTGCTCGTCCAAAATATTTGCTTGCTCAATGAGATGAAGTAAAAATATAGAATTGGGTATCAAACTTTAAGGACTTGATTGGTGACAATTAAATTTTAAGAACTAAATCGATTATTAAGACAAACTTAGGGATTAAAATTTTATTGTATAAAAATAAAACAAGTTAATAGCACAAGGCTCATTACAGTATTTTGCTCAAATTTAACTAAATGAAGCTTAATTGACTAGATGAGTGGACTTTTGTCACGACTCTCAACTGTTACGATTTTCTTTTTCTTTAATCAAATAAAATAAAATAAAATAAAACCTCATCCATTCACTTGTGTGGTAATCTGACAAAATTGCCTAAATAAAATGCCATTGAAGATTCTTTACTTTCTAAATCATTGAAAGCATAGGCACGTGACAGTGCTTGACATGTGAGTTGAAGAAGAACGAAAATAACTGTCAAAGACTAATAATGAAGCCTTATAGGCTTATACACAATCATATTCATCTCAGTCATTCCCTTCCAAAATATATGAATAACGCGAAATTCAATTCATAATTTCTCGGCTGGTTTATAATTGGCAGATTTATTAATTATTAGGCATTAACTATATTAATTATCATTCAAGATAATATGCCAACGATATGATTGGAGAGGCTTTATTCTGATGACATGCTCCCCAAGCTCTTCCCCTCTTCCTAATTTCTAACCATTAGATTAGGATTAAGATGATATAGATTTGATTTCTTATATAATATTTCAATTTAATTTGTTTTTACTGTATTTTTTAATCATCCATACTATATTTTAGCAATTTAAATTTTATTATTTTCGATTTTTATAATTTTATATTTTAATAATAATTTTATAGGAGATCAAATCTGAACCATCCGACTCTTGATCTAATGGTTTAAAAAGGAAAAGAAGGGAAGATGATGGAAAAGGAAGTGGAGAGAACCTTTATTCAACAAGATTTATTATTTTAGTTAATCAGGCTTTTGGTGAAGTCTAGTGATTCCTAGAAAATCTCTATAAACAATAAATAAATAAATAAATAACCGCCTGATAACCTAACATTGTAACAAAGGAAAGATTGGTTAAAAAAGAAAATCTTAGAATGGAGATTTTGAGTCAAAATAACAAAAAGATTGCAAATTTGTTAAAAATGACTTCCTTCAAAAACTTGCATAGAATGTCGATGGTCTGAAGAAGAGATGCTCGACATGTTTTAATGGTTACACTACAAATTCATAATTTGTAAATAATAATACACTTCGTTCAAAATTTTATTACATAAACTAATATATTTAAATTGTAGGAAGCAATCATGAGACTAAAAGCTATAAGCTTTGTTTGCTGTCAGCGATTTACTTTGGGATTGACAGTTGATACCGAATTTAACTTGGGCGATGTCATTTTTTGAATATTAGCCTGAAACATTTGAGCAGTACAACTCGTAATTTTATTTGGCCTTTTTTTTTTTGAGCAAAACAAACCTTTAGTTGGGCAAGGTTACTTCCCAAGTTTCATAAGAAGTTAGGCTTTATATACATTTGATTGGTTTTATGGGAAAAGAATTACATTGATCTAATATAAAAATTGAAATGGTATATCCTTCAATTACACCTATATTATCATTACCCAATAATTATTTTTCTTTAAAGATAAAAATATATTTTTTGTAGACTAAATCTACAAAATATGTTTGCAACATTCAATCAGATTGACGTTACCATGCTTCTTCAAAGTAGAATAATCATTAAAAAAAATCATGTTTAGATAAATGAAAAGATGGAATTTGGACCAAATCTCCCATCCAGATACATAAAAATTAATAAATTTAGATTTAATCTAAATGCAGATCCATCTTTTATTATAACTTTTTTTTAAATTTTAATTTCCTATATATCTAGTTATTTGAAATTATAGTCACATCAACTTGTTCTCATCTATTACCTATTAAAGAATAGAGGTAAGCCTAACACTCTTAATTTTTTGTTTTTGCTTTGAACTTCAACACATCCTTCTTCTTCCTTTAAAACTTTTTACACAGTCCAAACAAATTATTTTAAATTCATGGATCTTAAATCTAAAATATAAATCCAAATCAATTAATCTAAACGTCACCTAAAATAATTCTTTTTATGTACAAAATACTTCTATCATCATAGAATAGTGTATAAAAATATATTTAAAAAAATAATCTGTTTATAAATTCGTTACTCCTCAATTCTTATGAAGAACAAACATTAATTTCAACATGAGATTCTTTATGGCCAACAATTTCAACGTGAGGTAATTAATTGGCACACTCTCATCTCATTAGCAGTGAAACCATTCACTCACTAGAAGAGTTTAATATCACCCTATTTATCACCATTATTTAAAATAATGACTTAAATTTAAACAAACAAAACAAATATTTTATAAAAGAAAAGTAAATCTTAAAACACTTAAAATAATTACGAAGCTTACAAAACTAATTGCAAATAATAAGTCCATGTGACTAGTTTTGATTACAAAATTCTTTTCCCATTCTAATAAAAAGTACTCACTGTTCACCTCAATAGTGTAGCCATATGGTATTCTTGACTTTTTAAAGATTAAAGTTATCTCCTAACATAAGTTAATGCAATGAAAGAGAAAGAAAACTATGCTAGTGATGAAAAGAAACTTTGTCCGTAAAAGCGATCCATTATCACATCCAGGATCATATTTTCCTTAGGTCATGTATAGGCCATAGAGTAACCCCAAAAAGTACGTTACATATGAGAAGAATATTTGTCACTTTGTCATTGGAGCACATTTTCATTTATGGTTAGTCTTGTAGGCCATACAGAATACCCCTAAAAGAATGCCAATGAAAATAAGCATGTATGGATTTTTTTTTGCCTTCGCAAAAATATATGCAAAAGTCTTTAGTCTTAATTTGTTTGGATGTATTATATCTTTCCATCACCCATTTGTTGCTAGATGACATGCTTAACTTGTGAGTATGTACTTCAGGTCACACCATTTAATAAGAAATTGCTCCTAAATATCTCCTCTTATGAACATTTTGTTTTGGTATTATTATATCTTGGCTCAAAGAAAAACACTGCTTAATTGATTTTAAAATAAACCTAAATAATATAGCCTTGAAACAAGAAAGGTATATACACAATAAATTAAAGGGTTAAAGACCATTTTTTCTCCTAAACTTTTTCCTAGGGAGCATTTGGCAATTGGCATCCTATACTGAAGGGTGAGTCAATGTTTGAGAACATTTTATCAATATTTAAAATGCTTAATGTCAGCCTTTTTTGTTCATAGAACTAACAATTTTAGGATTAGAGGATTTAAAAAATACTTAATCAAATTAAAGAACTAAAATAAAATCTTATGTAAAATTAAAGAACTAAATATCTGCTTCTACCTAAATGCTACATACAAATACATTGATCTTTTCTTTTTTCTTTTTCCTTTTTTACAAAAGTGTCACATTTAAACCGAGCAATAAAATAAAATAAGTTAATAGCACACGGCTCATTACACTAATATGCTCAAATTTATACAACTCATATGGAGGAGTGTATATATATGCCGGGATTTACCTTATCATATATTTGAATATTGTATTATTCTTTATGTTATTTTTTAATGGCATAGTCTTAGTTTTCCAAAGTCTTCATACGTATGGAGAGTTCACGTATTTATATGTGATATATATCAACCCTAACTTGTTATTT